TGGTGGACATGGCAAATGCGATGAATCCGAGGCGCTCCTGGACGCCTTTGGGGGTGTTATCGAGCTTCCAGAACATGGTGGCAAGGATGAATCCGGTGACCATGACGGCGCCGAGGCGGATGCCGAAGAGCTCTGGCATTCTTCTAGCGTTTTTCATCGAGCGGTTGGCGAGCACCGCCATCTCTACCCAGATTGGGTTCGCGAATGTGGGGACCATCGAGTTCGGGCTCGGGTTGTTGTTGGTGGCTCCGGATACCAATTTCCCGCGAGAAATGCTCGCGCTTATCGCCTCCTGGAGGGGAACGACGTGTCGTGCGTCGGATGCTCCTCTGTACGACGCGTCGTTGGGGTTCGAGTGTTTCTTGTTCTGCCAGGTTCTGTTGAACTCCACCAAGCTTTTGGTCCCGCCGGGCGAGCCTTCAAGTTCTCGGATTATGTCGAGCGCAAACTCGGTCCGGTTCTCGGACTCGGGTATGGGGTGCCCAAACTCAGCGAAGTAGGAAGGTAAGTTGGTGGGGGACCCGCTGTAAACGGTTTGGCCCCGGGTCAGGAAGAGCAACCGGTCCAGGAGGCCGAGGATCCGATAACTAGGCTGGTGCACTGACATCACCACGATGCTCCCGCTCTGTGCGATTCGCTGGAGTACTTTCACCACCATGAATGCGCTCGTGGAGTCGAGGCCAGAGGTCGGCTCGTCGAGGAAGAGGATGATCGGGTCGTGGATGATGTCGATTCCGATCGAAACGCGGCGGCGCTCTCCGCCGGAGACTCCGCGGTGGCCTTCGTCTCCGATGATCGTCTTCGCCGCGTTGCGGAGGCCGAGCTGGTCGATCAACGCCTGGACGCGGGACTTCTTCTTGGATTTCGAGAGCGCGCGCGGGAGGCGGAACTCGGCCGCGAACATGAGCGTCTCTTCGACTGTGAGCATCGGGAAGAGGAGGTCGTCCTGCATGACGTAAGCGGATATCACCTTCAGGAGCCGCGATTCAAGAACCTCGCCGTTTAAGCTGACGGTGCCTTTCAAGCTTCCTTTCGCGATCCGATTCGCTAAGGCGTCGATCAAAGTGGATTTACCCGACCCGCTCGCGCCGAGAACCTGCGAGAATCTCTCCCTCGCGCGCTTCTCCCGTGATGTCGTTGAGCAGCGTCTTCGTCCTCGTGAAAAGATTATCTCCGCCGCATACGGGATCGGAAGCCGTGGCTGCGCCGAGGCGGTTATTGCAGCCGGATAACATCCCCGACAAGCTGAACTTGCGGCGGATCTTGACACTGTAAGTGAGGTTGTTGAATGAGAGAACGAACGGCAAGGAGCGAGGCTCAAGGCTGGCGTCGGAGATGTCGAGTTCATGGTGCGCCGGAGTCTCGCCGCCGTCACCTGTGACCTCCTTGCGTGCATCACCAACTTGCTTCAGTAGCTGGCCGAGCGAGGGCGACGCGCCGTGGGCGGGGCGTGGGAAGTCGTTTAGCTCCATGGAAGTGAAAAACGGCGATATCTGGTTGTCCGCCACCCGAGCCGACATTCGTATTGGTTCCTTACTCTCCAAGTCTCCTGATATTTATAGTCGTGGAGTATGTGATCTGCAAGTGAGGAGAGAGTGGTTAACGGCGTGTTTGGAATGGGATTAATTTCTCAGAAAAATGCGTCAAATCAGAGCGGTGTCGTTTTGCTTCTTCAACTCGACTGTAGTTTCTGTTTCTCTCTCTAAAAATGCACCTCTCTCGATCCGTTCCTCTCTCTCTCTAGAAGTGAGAGTTAAGCTTCTGCTCTATGGAGTTACGGAGAAGTGTTTTCTATATATAGAAAGCCAACAAACGTAAAACCGGGTGAGGTTTTGATGGTGTGGGTGTAGGGTTTACTTACTTTTCTCTGTTATTTTATTTATTTATGTTTTAATTTCTAATTTAATTTTAATTTAATTTTCTGCAGGTTTGAAGGGGGAGGTGAGAGAGAGGTGACCTACAACGCCTAATCTCATCTCCATACGTCTTCCCTTTCTCTCTAATTCTGCTTCTTGAGCAAGATATGGGAGGACACGTGGGTGATATGGGCTGGTGACACGTGGAATTATGGCAGGGTTAACAAGTTTTGGGGATCCATGTGGAAATTAGGTTGGGTGTTGATCAAATTATGCGTAAGCAGTAATGTAATTATATGTATTTGGTCCATAATCTATATTTCGTGGATGGCTCAAGGGTCACTGATTTAGGTGCCCATTTTATGGTTTACCGGGTTAAGCTATCGAGTCGTACGACTTTGACAAGTTTGTCTATGTATACAGTACACGACGATATGATTGATACGCTTTATTTTTCTGATTTAATAATACAGCGTAGCAGTGTTCTGGATACACCGAAATATTTATCGCAATCTTGATCATTAAGCGATGGGGTTCCAATTTATGAGGTGTACATGGTTGGCAGGAAGCGGAAGGTTACTGTTTACAGGCAGCTTTCTTGTGTAGTGTTACAATTCACTTTCCAGTTTTCATATCTTCCCTGTTGTTTAGTCGTTTTACACTTTCTGGTACGAGTTTAATGATTTGGGTCATTGATTCGGATGTGGGTTATGTAGCTATAACTTCCAAGTTTAGATTTCTTTTCCACATGGAGCATCTGCTTTGGGACTCACAAGTCCTTTGTTTTGGTGTCAAAACCTTTTTAGGGAGTTTCTTAAGTCCAAGAGATTCACAATTTGGAAGGGCAAATTACGGTGAGACGTAAACACAACCGATTCATAAAGTGTGTTTTTTTATTGGGTAGTTTTTTATGAGTTGTTTTGACATTCTTATTAAACTATGATTGTGGTAGCAAAAAATCGCTGTCTTTTTAGTCTTACAAAACAAATTAAACACCTTTGATTAAGCTAAGAACCGCAATCCCTGAGGGGGAGGTTGATTGATCAATGAACTTTCGATGCCTAAGTCAGGTTTTTCTAGAGTGAGGGTTGAGTTATGCATAGTAACTTCAACTTGAACATTGTGTAGCATGAGGTATTTATAGCATGGCCGCCCAGATGCGTAGGGTTTTTCATGGCATGTGTCTACGCCCAGTTGGTCAGGTTATGTCATCTGATGGATAGAGTTTGTATTTGTACCATGATAGTACTGAGGATAATCCTTATAGATATTATTAAATTAACTAATAATATACTAAGGATTTTCTTTGAGAATCCTTGATTAGAGATAGCTAGGAATTAGTTATTGATTTTGCTTTTAATTCCTTTGCCTTACACCTTGGCATGAGCAGACGAGCTTTGAGAAGTCATACTCAGGAGCTCAAGTCTTATTGATGGTTGAACTGCACATGGAACGGATGCGGACCTCACTAATTTAATGAGAACATTCTAGTTTCTTGCCGATGAAATTCCACGTATCAACTCCACAAATTTCTAAATTATTTTTAGCTCTACAGTAATTTTTACAAAAGGAGCACTCAAGTGTCTCCTCTTATTATTCATTAATATTACTAAGTAATCCTCAACTCTGTCATTTATTCCTATTTCGATTTATCCTCTATGTTCAAGGGTTTCACATTTCAATTTGAAACCCACATAATATATACGATTGGAGTTGCCTGCCTCCTACTCCTAGGAGTCCGCTATGCCCATTCAAGACGAGTCACCGAAGAGAAATGCTAAGGAGACATTATTAAAAGTGAGACTATTTATAAATTCTCCGTTATCTCATGTTTTTACACAATATTCTATAATTTTAACAAAAGAATTAACGTTAAACTTTAAAGTGTCAAAATTCCTCCCTAGCATAAGCACGAAGAAAAACAAGTTACCTTATTAGTACTAATTTTCTTGTTCATCAATCGCATATAGAGACAAACTAGGCAGTACGATAGGACGTGAAAACACTGAATTCCATTTCGACGTTAATACGTGGAATCGTCTTGTTGGAGAGACATGATCCAAACCCAGTATGACATAAGAACAGGAAAATAGGTCTATGATATATATATATTTTTTAATTTCAGTAGCAAATGCAAACCTTATAATAATTCGGGTGATACTTGTACAACACCCCAATTTATATTATGGTTACACAGTGACAACTGCATGATACACATAAGTCCAAAACAATATCTAAGTGCAATAAATTATGCAATAGTATACAACACACTTTAGCAGATTTTCTAACGTACCTCACCTAAGATCGTTAAGTTGGGAACGAATAATAGTGAAATAAACCATTCAAAGCAATTTTGTCACACATCATCGTTTCTAGAAAAAAAAAATGAAAAATCATATTTGGTTGCTAAATGACGAGAAATTTCTCAAGAGTGTCAGGAACACAGTCAAGTACATCAAGTGCCATAATATAATTGGTTAGAGATTTCTTTTTCAATTTCCAACGAATTATATTATAACACTTGGTGTCACGGAATATATTCCTGGCACGTTGAAAAATTTCTCCTAAATGACAAGGAGAATGATTCTTACAACGAGAGTACATCGTTATCATCACATCCGTATTAGTATTAAAACGAAGTGTGCAAATTTTTCTTTACACGACATTGTATCATTGATACGGAACACTACAGTAGCAATGTATCCGTGCTATGTAAGTTGCTATTTTGAGAAAAAGGAAAGTAAGAAAACAAGGGAAAGATTAAAAGGTAGAGAGGTTGGTAGTTAAATATAGATAGGCTACCCCATCCTTCACCGAATCATAAGGTAACTCAAACCAATAAGGAGATGGGAGGGATGGAGGGGCTTAGCTAGATATTTTATGTGAGAAAAGCAAAGTCCCCTCAAAAGTCAAACAAACATGGACGTATCTGCATGCGCATACAGTGCACATATGAATATACTTCTTCACTGCACTTTACACTCATGTTTTGACACTTTCGCGGAGGGATTCGGGTACTGTTTGGGAAAAATTCTTAGGTTCCGATGACCAAACCACGTGGCGTCCAGTTGAACACATGTTGGGCGGGACCAATTGCAGATGGGTGACAAGTTTCGGGAAAAAGAAAGTTGCAGAGAAGAAAAATGCAGAGAAGGATAAGTCATATTTCATGCCTCCAATGAGGTTACAACGGAATAGTATATGGACAAAGATTGTCTGTTCTCTCACTTTCGGCGCTTTCTCGTGCTCTCTTGTTTTGTGTGATTACGGTTAAGCTACGTCAATATTTTATATTATTTTTTATAAAGATAATAAGACAAAAATAAAAAGTAATATAAAATATTGACGTGATTTAACCGTGATCACACAAACACGAAAGCACAGAAAGGCTTAACCGTGATCACATCATCCACTACAGTAAAAAGACTTAGGTAACCAAAGTGCTGAGTCACCACATTCCTATATTCCACTACGAGGCAGGTAAATTAACCAAGGCATGAGTTAAATCATTGCAGGGTCCTGACACTGTCCGGACAACAGGACAACTCCGATTAAACTGGATAACAGTCGTATAAGAGTCTCACACATGTTTTAGCAAACCTAGATGCATTTCGGACCGAGACTTTGCATCAAATTTCCAGTGCTCAAAGCCTACTCCGCCCCTGAAAGCCATGTCCGATACTTGAGTAATCCGAAGCCGGCCTACTCGGCCCCCGGGAGCCATGTCCAATATGTGTAGGCCGATGCAGCAAACGAGTGCTATGCATCAACATCAATCTAAATTCTGCAGGAAGTATGACATTTTACAGAACCCTAAGTAATACAAGGCATGCTGGTCCACAACCCCACATTCGAGCGAGCACAAAATAATGAAACAGAAGTTGCCCCCACATATATACATATGTAAAGCGAGGACTCCAAATTCTGTTTGGTTTTGGTGGTCGACCAGGACTCCAAATTCTGTTTGGTTTTGGTGGTCGACCATTCATGCTTAGCTTAGCTTTAACGAAATGGGTCCAAGCATCATGTTTTCGCCTCCGAAAACATCTACAGATAACCAACTCCCCGGAAATACTATACATTTGTACAAGCAGAAGTGCGGTATTAACTTGGCACAATGTTTGTTGGCTATCTACTTGGTTTCTCCGGAACCTGCTCTTATCCGCCGAGTACCTGTACTAGTTCATTTTACCCGTTTACCGATCATCGTTAGTAGCAAGAGGTGTAAAAGAAAATGCTTGCAGCAAAAGTCGGCACAACAAAAGAGATGTCATGAAAAGCACAAGTCAATACGAATTACCCACTCTACAATTTCAGCTTAATTACAGCATCTTCAGATGCAAAGTATTCTCATTTAAGCAATTCAATTTGTGCCACCCATGGGATAGAATGGTTCACTTCATATAGGCACATACAACATCAGCGGTGCGTATTAAGAAATCACATAAGGCAAATTTTTAGAAGTACTACTCAGTTATCAAAATGTTGGAGAGAAGTGGCCACGTTGAGAAAAATATAAGCCAAGGAACAAGGAATACTTCATCGAAGCAACATCTACAATTACCTTACTAATTATCATCCTGGAAGTTGACCGCAAGATCCCAGTAATGAGCAACGCCAGCATCAGCAAAAATCTTCCGGGCAGCAGCTTCGGTCATGCATTCATGAACATAAAATCTATTGAAGCTCGGTCTGGCAACACTTCCTTGCCATACTAACACGCACTTATTAGGAGGCTTGTCATCCTCAACATCATCATCTTCTTCCTCTTCTTTTACTGCTTCAGCCCAGTTTATGCGCCTAAGCATAACCTTAGCATACCTCTTAATAGACTTGCTTCCACCTTCAACAACCACAACATTAATACCATCTGATATCACACAAGATCCAGTCAGCCGGTTCTCTCGCGCATTAACATCTATCTTGAAGCGGGCCTTTGGATGCGACAGCTCATTGATCCTGTAAACTGAGACTATGGTCTCCACGTTATTTGGGTCATCAAAAAGCTTCCTTTCTTTCTTCTCGCGTCGTTCAGCAGGAGTGAGCTTGCGTGCTATATTCCTGTCTGCATGAGCCTGTTCACGTTCAGCAGCTGCACTCCGGATCTCCTTTTCAAGCCTGGTTGGATCTTGGGTTGCTTCAGAGCCAAGAACTTTCATCAAATTACTCATTTTAACTTTTGGCTTTGGAGGCTCAAGTAGGCCTTGTCTAATCATCTCCTGCCTATCTTTCTCTCTGGCCAGACGTTTCTGTGTACGTAGTTTTTTCTGTTCCTTCTTGGTCAGCTTCAGAGGTTGAGGTGGTGGAGGAGCTGGCTCAGTAGGGGGCTCAATAGGTTGAGGATGCTCAATATAGATTGTGACTTTTTCCATCTTCAATTTTTCCTCAGCTACTGTACCATCGATGACTTCATTATAAGTACCAGAGTGCAAGAGGGGCACATCCCTGACATAATTAGCAAGTATATTCAGGAGACATCTTTAGCATAATGTGCAGTTTAAAGATGATTTTAATCAGACGACAAGTTCTAAGAGGACTAAACAAAATGCAAATTCAATCTGCAATTTAAAGTTGGCAAATGAAACAATGACAACGTTCTTCAAACATCTTAGTTGAAAGACATAATTCAAAAGGACGGATATTAGGGTATTGGGTTCACCCCTTTTGTTTCATCTATCGTCACAGATCATGGCCTATTTTCAACATCGGGAACAGTGGGGAAGCGTAGAGGAGAAAATATAATCAGTAACCATATTGAATAAAGTTTCTAGGTCATTTCATTACTTGCAGTCACAAAAAGTAATGTTACGTCTCCCCCAACCCAAAAAAAATTAAAAAATAAAAACAATCATTCAGCAAACTGCAGCAACGCAAAAGGCAATCAACTTACCACCACTCGATTTCAGGAATTGGATCCTTTGGCTTTTCTTTGGTGATAACTCTCTCTCCTACCTCTATCAAATTTGGATTAATATCTGGCGCTGCCTTTGCCTTTGCAAACTGTTGCTGCTTTGCTCTTTGCTCTTTGGCTTGTGCTTCTCCAAATTTACTCTGTACAGATGTAGGAAAATTTTAGTCAGAGTCTCAGAGACAGGTAAATAACTCAAAAAATGATCAAAGGGGTTAAAGGGACATCAATAAATACCTTTAATTTTATAAGCTCAGCATCTTTTGTCCATTTTCCTTCCTCTACAAACGCAAAACCCATCCTCTTTGGCCTCAAAAATTTTTTACTGATGCCCACATCCGGATCAAAATGAGGATTCTTTTCAGGATCCACATCCAATTCAGGTTTTAGAATCTGGAATGCTTCTTTCTTCTGTTTGTTAATGTTGACCTGAAAAAATAAGAAACAACATATTAAATTTCAAACAAAAAAAGTCCATATAACAAGAGGCAGCTGATTGACAGGTAATAGCTACTAAACCTTTAGAGTGCTGAGGTTGTTTGGTTTGGTCACATTCACTAAGTTTCCGTGCTCATCTATTTCCCTTCCAAGGGCATCAAGACGAAGAACAGGGGCCTTAGTAGGCTTCTGAGGGGCAGCAACATCAGTTGCCACCTGTCCGGGAAACACATTTATAAGAGGAGAAAACTCGGGGTCTTGATGGAACCCCATCTGAGCAGCAAGCTCTTGTGCACGTTTTACAGCTTCAAAATTGGGAATGCCTGCTGCAGAAATGGGTAGTGCAGATGAATCAAATGTTGCCACAGAAGCAGCTGTACCACCAGCTGTTGATGGGGCCGGTGCACGTAGTATCCCAGCAGTGGTAGATGGTGGTTTAAGTGCCTCCTTCGTTTCCAAGTTATGGCTAGCGTCTTTGCTTGCATTGCCACCCTTCTTCAACTGCATGATAAGAATAGTGATAGTAAGTTTATCCAAAGGTATATATGTAATAAGAAATTGTATAGTACATGAAAGTTTGTCGCACACAAGTGTCAGACACATTAAAATTTTATGTGGATATGTTACCTGGTTAAGCTTCTTCAGCTTCTCAGTCAATTCCTTCTGCTTTTGTAAAGTTCTCTTAATTTTTTCTACATCACCAAGAGACAGATTCGCACTTTTCCCAGCAGTTGAAGATGTTCCATCTGTACTAGAGTTTCCATGAACCTCATGAGATCTGGTAATACTAACTCCCTTATTTTCATTTGTGGTAGGAATTGAAGATACCTTGGTAGGAAGGGGTTGATTGGGAGCAAAAGAGGTCTCAGGCATAGTCCTTGATGTCGTAGTAGGTTCCAGAGCAGCACCCTGTAAGTGGTGAAAATTAACAACGTCACTCGCTGCGGTTGCCGAAAGATCTTGATCATGGTGGAGAAAAAAAACACAAACATGAAGAATCAAAACAAAATGAAGGGAATACATTTCATACTGATGACCTCGGTCCTCAGCTAATGGAGAGGTGACCTAGAACGGATATAAAGCATATAGGAAACAGAGCTATTTTCTAACGAAGAAAATAAGACACCTTACATTATTAAGGAAGAATATACCTCTTCTAAAAATCTGTAGCTTCCAGGTAAATCAATCATCAGTATACAACACTACAAATTTCAAGAGTAATAGCAAGGTAGTTCAACCAACATTTTCTGTTTCTCTTATTCGATAAATATAGTTTACTTCAACCTAAGTTGTTATTTGGAGAGCCTTATGGCTTCTAGCACTATGGCATACAATCACATACGGCAATGCTATAAGAAGGCATAACCCTTCTGCTACATCATTAATCCATACCTCAAACCATGATATCAACGAGGGGTTAGAAATTTCAGTTTCAAAAGAATTGCAGTTTTACGAGTGATTAAGAGGCTAACCTACGGTATATCCTAAATGTGGAATATTTTCGCCAGGTTTTCGCAATTTCAGCATCTAAATAACATAATTATCAAATTCAACTAAAGCGTAAATAAAAAGAAAGGTACCATCAAGCATAAAACTTACATTACCCACCCAACCACTCCCATTTGGGGCGGGGGCGGCGTTCTGGAAATTGCCAATCTGATCATCCCCAACTTCTTCTTTCTTAACATTAACCTCACTCGCATTCACATTCAATTCAGTTCTCCGTTCAATAGCTCCGCAATTCTCTCCGTCCTCTTCCGCCTTTACTCTGCGGTCATCAAACCTCCTACTCTTTCTCTGACCTCCATTCACTTCCTGCCCATCTTCCTCGAATCGCTTCCTCTCTCTCCTCTCCCCTTCCGAAACCCTAGACCTCTTCTTATCTTCTAAACCATCACCATCGCCATCTCTACCCTCACTCCTCTCCCTCTCTTTCCTCTTACGCTTCGATTCCTCTCGCTCCTCCGACCTCTCGCGTTTCGCTTCCCGATGCCTGGACCTTTCTCTGCTCCCTTCCCTCTCGGCCCTGGGCTCGTAGGACCGCTCGCGATGGTCGCGCGAGACATCCCTGCCGTCTTCACTCGGCTCGCGTGACCGTTCCCGACGAGATTTGTGGTCGCGGGCCTCGCGCTTGGAATCACGGTCCGATCGGTGGTGGTGGCGGTGGTAATCGGAGTCCTTTGACGATCGCTTTTCATCGGCGTCACGGCTGCGATGCTTATCGTAGTCTCTGTCTCGATCCCTGCGGTCGCGTTTGCTCGATTTGTCTCTCTCCATAGCTAGGGTTTCCCAGTCGCTCACTCTTCTCTCTCTCCCACCAAATGGGGGTTCAGGAGGATAAATTGGGCAGAATGCAACGGATACGATTTCTATGGGTATTTTCGCAAGGAATTAAAAGAAAACTCACGTTTTATCGATAATAGTCGAAAGATAATAAAACATAGGCTAAACTTTATACGTTGTTTTAGGATAATAAACAAAGAAATTTAGCTAAATTTTTCTTTATTATAATCACGTTTTATTGATCTGCCGTTCTTGCAATTCAAATCAGAGACCAGAGACAAAAGGATAGGCCACTCTTGATGCTTGGTTCTAAGGTTGCTTAGTGAGCACTCAGGGAGAAGAATGAGTCTCATATTGATGAAAGGCAGTGGCGAAGTCAAGATTTATCGATGGAAGGGGTGAAATTCAAAAATGTGCAAAGTTCAACCAAGGCGGTTGCTTTTACATTGAAGAGTGCAGAGTTTTGATAATATTCATAGTAGAAAATGCTCTATGACTAGAGCGGTTGTAAGTGGGAGTAATGCTAGGGAGATCGAAATTTTAAACCAAATTTGTAAAATAAATGATGTGTCATCAATATGAAATAAACACGTTAATCAATGCATAACTAATAATCCAATCATCATTTGGTTTCCAAACTTGGTTTAAAAAATTTGGTTCATCTAGCATTATCTTATAAGTGGTGGTAACATCAAAACCCATGTAAGAAGCTTATATTGGTTAAGATTAGGTTCTAAAAGACGTTAGGGTACTAGCCGGAAGGTGGGTTGAGGCCTAGCGCCTAAGCGAGATCTAGACGAGAGCCTAAGTAGACTAAACCAATTTAAATTAATTTATTATACATCATGAATAAACATTAAATAGTATTTACGTTATTTTTTTAAATCATAATACAATATTTGTGACATCCCATATCGCTCAGGGGAGTGATCCTTAAATGTATGTTCTCATCCCTATCTAGCACGAGGCCTTTTGGGAGCTCACTGGCTTCGGGTTCTATAGGAACTCCGAAGTTAAGCGAGTAGCGCGCGAGAGCACTCTCAGGATGGGTGATCTATCGGTAAGTTCTCGTGTGAGTTCCCAGAAACAAAACCGTGAGGGAATGGTAAGCCCAAAGCGGACAATATCGTGCTACGGTGGTGGAGCAGGCCCGGGAAGTCGTCTCGCCCGGGCGGGATGTGACAATTTGGTATCAGAGCCTAACCCTGGCCGTGGTGTGCCGACGAGGACGTCGGGCCCCTAAGGGGGTGGATTGTGACGTCCCACATCGCCCAGGGGAGTGATCCTTAAATGTATGTTCTCATCCCTATCTAGTACGAGGCCTTTTGGGAGCTCACTGGCTTCGGGTTCTATAGGAACTCCGAAGTTAAGCGAGTAACGCGCGAGAGCACTCCCAGGATGGGTGACCCATCGGGAAGTCCTCGTGTGAGTTCCCAGAAACAAAACCGTGAGGGAATGGTAAGCCCAAAGCGGACAATATCGTGCTACGGTGGTGGAGCGCTCCCGAGAAGTCGTCCCGCCCGGGCGGGATGTGACAATATTTGTATATAATGTGCAGTTTAAGGGAAATATGGTTGGGGTTTTAAAAGAGAAAAGAAAAAAGAAAAATGGAAAATAAAACTTACAAGAATAAATAAAACATTAGTTAAAAAGGTAAACAAACCAAAAAAAGGTCAGGTGAGAAGAGAAGTTAAAAAAAAAGGGAAAAAATGAGTTAACGAGAAAAGATGGGGTAAGAAGAGAATAGAAAAGTGAAAAATGGGTAAACAAACGAGTAGGGGTCAGAACTTTTGCCAAATGACGCCGTATAGGAAGAGCAAATGAAGGCTTCATCTTCTTTGCAAGTTCCGGCCCGCCGCTCTGCAAATATTTTTTTTCAGATTTTGTTCACCAAAAATTAAAACACAAGAGCCATCAGCGCACCAGTGCAACGCCGCTGCATAACCAAAGCCAGAAATTCAGCAAATTTAAAAGAGTAGAGGGGCGAAATCCTCACTCTTGGTGGAGATTTCCGACGAGCGGAGGGGCGGCCGCCTTTTCTTGCCCCTGTGTAGCTTCGCTAGTGATGATTGTACCACGTGTTATAAAAGGTTATAAGAGGTTGTGTTACTTTCCATACTGCCAATTAATTTTACTGTGAAACCTAACTTTTTTCATGAGCAAGTTACTACCAGGCTAATAAACTGACGGCATTTTGTGGGTGTGCAACTTTGGGGCAAAAGATTCGTGTGCTTTTATATTTGTTTCAGACAATTTTCTTGCTTCCCAGGATTGTCTTGTGTATTTATGTTTTAGGGTATAGGAATTAGGGGTTTTTTTGTTTTTAGGTTAACTGAATGTGAAGTGACAATTGAAATGCAAGCCACACATTCGTGGAGATCAAATGTGACACCCAATAAAATGATTTTTTTTTTTTTGAACAAACGATTATATTTTAAGTTTACTAAATACTCAAGGTACGTATGCTTCTGATTTTTCTTGTTTTTTTATTTTTTTAATTTAATTTAATTTAATTTTTTAGGGAAGGGATTGTTAGAAAGTTTATATTATATAGAGGTTAAAATCAGAGTACACCTATTTTATGATATATTTTTTGTGTATTTGAACAATGGATGTTATCATCTGCACCTTGATATTATGATATGATGTTATTACGTTTTTGTTTATTGATATTTCACATTAATGTTACTGTAAACATACAGGAAGACGGGAAGACAAAAACAAGTCTATTTTAAATCCGATCTTTACTCGGAATATAGCCAACAATTTATCAAAACCACTTAAATGCTATCTCCGTAGCCCCCCCCCCCCCCCAAAAAAATAATCAAGAAACTCGCCAGAATCGAACTTAACATCTCTCACTCATAAGTAGAAAGAAATGTCCATTAACGATCTTTAAGTTTTTTAGATTATCTAAGTAAATGCTTTTTTTATTAATGAATAATGGCGTTAGCATTTAGCTTTAAGTCAACGAGCATTACCCTTTTTTCTCCTTTGTTTTTTGGCAAAACTGTTTTCTCTTTGCTTGATTGTGTTTGGTGAAGGAATCGCTTAGTTTCATACAGATTACAGAGGGATTAAGATCAGGCTAATACAGATTAACCATCATTAATCATCAGCCACAGCAGGAAATCAATGGCAGGTTTGTTTGACAAGCAAGCAGATTTGTACTTGGATTCAAGGCCAACTTATCCCAAAGAATGGTACTCCAAATTGGCAGATCTCACTCCTCACCACTCTCTCGCTTGGGATGTCGGAACCGGCAACGGCCAAGCCGCTATCGGTGTTAGTATCACGATACTACCCTCTTTCCCTTCTCAATTTGCTGCATTTCTTTGAATTCAGTTGAAATTATTCTCTTTACAAGTTACAATATACAACATAGCAAGTTAGTTTCTTTTTTCTCTTAAACTAAGAATTTCACATAGAAGTGAGTCAGGAAAGTTGATCATGTTAATATGATGGTGCCTTTGCACGGAAGTTCGAACAGCATATTAGAATAATTTTGAATATCGTTTTGTCACATCCATAATTTCATAATATACATATTGGTTGCATCCCTGCTTTTCTATGCTGAATAGCCTACTTGACTATTCCACCCAAATGTTTGATTTTCAAATGATCAATATACATATATAGAATCAAAACAAATGATTACTGAGATTCGCCAGGAGGATACATCTTAAATCGCAAAAGGAGGGTTTGAAAACACTGAGGTTTTAGTCTAGATTATAGTCTAACCACATTTCACACGAGTATTGAACACGTTGACTGTTGCAAAATGTTACCACAACGATTGTGCACATTAAGTTTGATAAGAGAACGTTCATCGCTCTAACTTGTATACTGTATGTTTTAATAAAAAGGTTGCTGAGCACTATAAACAAGTGATTGGAACCGATGTGAGTGAATCCCAGCTGCAGCGTGCAATGCCACATCCTCGTGTTCGATATGCCCACACGCCATTTACCATGACAAACGACGAATTAATAGCCATGATCGGGGGCGAAAACTCAGTTGACTTGGTGACTGTGGCCCAAGCTGTGCACTGGTTCGACTTACCAAAGTTTTACAGTCTTGTTTCGCGGCTTCTGAAGCCAGGAGGCGTGTTGGCGGTTTGGTGCTACAATCGCATCGAAGTTTGTCCGGAATTTGATCCTATTGTGAAGCGACTTGAGGACACAACCCTTCCCTATTATCATCGTAACATCCAGTACGTGTTTGATGGTTACAAGACGCTTCCTTTCCTTTTCAGAGCGTTGGTTTCGGATGCGAGGGGAGTCCATTGGCGCTGGACATTCCAAAGAAGTTGTCGTTCGAAGGGTTTTTGAAGATGGTACGGTCATGGTCTGCAGTCAATACGGCCAAAGAACAAGGCGTCGATTTGTTGCCCGAAAAGCTGGTTAAAGAGTTTGAGGTTGCTTGGGGCGGCTCCAAATTAGTCAGGTCTGTCAGCTACAAGGCTTTTATGCTCGCCGGAAAAGTTAAGGTGTGATCTTGTTGGGTGGGTGTGCGGATCATTTCCTCCTACAAACAAATATTACTTTGACGTTTGTATTGAAATTTCTTTAAATACATGCGACAGATATCAGCAGTTAATCATTGTTTACGTGTGCAATTTTTCTTACCATAACATGAAGCTAAGGATCTGGAATCCACCAATTTAGAGAGAAATCCCAAAGGATAATTTGATTAATTGATGATTGATGATTACATTGAAGCATCCATTGGCTTAAATAAATGGATTACAACTCTTTGAGACAACTTATATGGCTTAGGTAATTTAAATGAAAGCAAACGACATTAACCAAGCAGAAATCAAGGTTCGGTTTTTATTACATAATTTCAAATGTTGTTTTGGAAGCCTAAATAGTCTCGGATTGCTAAAATTCGCCATGTTTCACTGCAAAGATGTGAGTTGGAACCACGGCGTTGTTCCCCTCTCAAAAAGGAATCGTGGCTCAATTCAAAGCTTGGACGCCAAATCTACAAATTTCTGATGCATCCCTTGTCTTTCGTTAGTCCATTTCCTCTTCAATCCACTCGGTCCATTTGTTCTACATCACTCTCTTTTTTTAGGTTTTTTGGTAAACATCACTTTCTCTTTGTTCTTAAAGAATTGGCAAAAGCTTCAATGAATCATGCCTCTACAACTCCAAAGGACAAAGCATAAAATTCTATTTACCCCGGAGGGGTCCTTCCCTCTCCGATCTAGGTCAACAAATCATAACTTTATCAACTAACGGTGGAGCAAGTTTTGGCAAAGGTTGTATCAAGTTTGTGATTTATACTTTGACTAGTAGACAATGGCATGCATTTGTTTAAGAGTTCGCTTTCGTTAATTTCTTTGTCACATTTAATTGACGGACATTCTTAATTACAAAATTAATATATAAAGTTTGGGAAAAGACATGTTGCCTCTTATTATAATCCTTGATGTAGATGTGGAAAATAAATATTTGAGTAAATTACAAAAAACTACCTTAACTATGGGTCGAATGACAATCTCATACCTCATGTTTGAAAAATGACAATTTCATACCTCATCTTATGAATTCGTTTCAATATCACACCTCCATCAGTTTTTCTGTTAAGTTTGACTGTTAAGTTATGAGTTGGCAGGTGTGGAATCCACATCCTTACCCAACTAAATTAAAAAATTAATTAAATACTAATAAATATATTTCAACAAAAAAAAACTAATAAATATAGAAAATCATTTTAAAAAATTATTAAGAAATTGTGGGACCCACCCTCATCCCTTACCCTTTTCCCTACACCATCCGTCCCCTACCTTTCTAGAACCCCCTCCTTTTTTTTCCTTTGCAATTCTCCCCCCTAGCCCCCAACAACAAAACCCACCGCCTTTGTCTCTTCTTGGTCCTCAGGAAAACTCTCGTCCTCACTCACTCACTCACTCTCTTCCTTTCCTAGTCCTCGGGGAAACTCTCTTCCTCACTCACTCTCTTCCTCTCCTGCAACTCCTAATTCACCCAATGCCATTCCCATCCTTGCCACTCTCTCTTCCCTTTTCGAAAACCCGCCTTTGGCCCAAGATGGGCACAACGATTCTACCCGAATGCCTATTAGCCTCTGCCCTGAGAATGTACCAGTCGATGGTAACAAATGCGATGTGGGAAGATAGGTCGAAGATCTTCGAAAACGTCGTGTGGATTTCGACGGCTCGCTGTACTTATAGTTGCATCTGGTCACCACGATCACCACTAAATCTTCCTATTGACTCGAGTTCTGCTGGACCCTCATTAGCTACATCGTCTCTTTTAGGTCCACGGCAGTGGCTGGGGCTTCTTAGCGAGGTTGTGGGCGACGGTAGTGGTGGTGTAGACATTGCTGTGGGGGTGATTGAGGCTAACAATTTGAAATCTAGGGTTAGGGTTTGGGGGGAATTGAGGTTTTCTGTTTGAAATTGGTATGGAGAATTGAAATTTAGGGTTAGGATTCCGCGGCGCGGGGGGGGGGGGGGTGGATTGGGGTTTCTGTTTGAAATTAGGGAATTAGGGTTAGGGTTTGGGGAATTTGGTTTTCTATTTGTAATTTACCCCATAAATTTTTAAAAAATTTAATTATTAAAATATATATTTAATTATATTTTAATCCAGTTGGATTAGTGAGTGGTCCCTGTATCTAGCCACGTCAGCATTTTACAGAAAAATTAACAGAAAAACTAACGGAGGTGTGACATTGACACAAATTCGTAAGATGAGGTATGACATTGTCATTTTAAAAAGATGAGATATGAAAGTGTCGTAACACCAATAGTTGAAGGTAGTTTTTTGTACTTTACCCTAAATATTTTGTTCTTCATGAACATTATATCATTATTTTTTACTATTAAATCCCGTGTGCCATATGAATTTGTAGTTCTAAGTTGTTAATTTATGAGAACTTCATTATAAAAAATTCATATAAATTACATTTGACAGTTATTTATATAGACATGAACGATGGACATTAGCGTTTAACTTTCATGAAGTGAAAAGATATGCTGCCCTATTATTATGACCATTGACGATGAATGTGAAAAGAAAATTACAAATAAAGTCCTTACGCGGACACTAACCCAACATATATGGTTAGGCTTTGCATAGAAGAAACAAACAAATACAAGAAATTGAATTAATGTATGCATAAAAGAAGCTTCCTTGTGTGCCGCTGCCATGTGTGGGAGTGGATGAGGGAGGAGAAGAACTCTTCGAATCGGCTTCTACTCTTGTGAACACTTCCATGGCACTCACTATCGGAGGTAGGGTGGACCCGCTGGCCGATGCCATTGTCACGTTAATTGCGGGACCCACAACAGTTATAGGATACAGGGTGATTACTTTGCATTCTCCGAGTTTAAGTGTTGTCGTAGACTTTTTCTGACCGTTGATGTAGATGTCGATGATTCTGCTGTCGTTTGGTTTGGGTAGGGTTGCCATTTCGGCGAAGTAGAGCACTATGTAAGCCGATTGTGGGGTCGTGTGGGGGAGATCGACGGACAGGATGATTGGATCAGAAGGTTTCAGTGATTGAATGGAGTCGAGAAGCACCGGAATAGGGGGGTCGTTTTCTATTAAGGGGAGGGGAGTGGCTACGGTAGGGACTTGGACGCAGTTTGGTGGGGTTGTTCCACGTGTCCATACTCGGTTGTACCTTTCCTCACTCAATGGTCCTGCGTACCTGCATTGATTTAGCAGTTTGGGTCCATTGTCAATCAAAATCCAACTCATTTCTCCAATAATCTAGGAGAGACTTTGGGTACGGAAACCCGTACAACGTTAGAATTTATTAGGATTTGTTCACGCAAGACACACGCGAATGTTAGAATTTATTGTATACACTACCATAAGCGAATTTTTACTATTGATATATTATGAATCTCACATAAATCAATAATATACATACGAGATTTTGTATCTAATTTTTGATGTCCAAATTTAATGAGCATACAATTAGAGTAAGAGCATAAACAACTATATATATGTATGTATATGTAACTATTTGACCTACCTGTCAATGTTTATGTGAGACTCGCCTTTACATGGTTAAGCTCATATGCAATTTTTGAGAACTCATATGAATTTAAATTTTTTTGAGTTCTGTGAGATTCTAATAGCACTTTGCGTTACATATAGTTCACCCTATCTCTCATGTCAATGTTTATTCCGACACAATGCAACGTACGAAAATCAATAGTCACTTATGTTGTGTGATAAAGATGCAGAGAATAAAAATGGTAAATTGACACTAAAGGATTTGAGAAAGGTATACCTTACTTCATTGCCACCAAGATTAACCCTAGAGACTAGATCATAAGCGTAACTGGTCTCCATCTTAGGGTACAATGGACCTGTTAGAACATATATTGGAACAGCTTCTACTGAAGATACAAAGGGAACCATTCCCTTCTCAACCTGCACAACACACACATTGAGAGATCCTGACCCTTGATTCACATACATGGCTTCATGGTACAATGGCCCTTCCGCCGTTGATGCTTTGACAGTTGACCACGTTCGGCCGTTGATATGAAGATCAAACGGCGGAGGGCGGGAGAGACCGTCATAGTCTCCGTAGTAGAAGCCCGCCCTGATCAAGTACCGCTGAGTAGATGCATTGTAAGGCAAAACATAACAATTTTGCTGGTTTTGGTTAGGGAATGATCGGACGGTGTTCATTTCTTCAAGTGGTTGCTTTTGTGGAACTTGCTTGTTGATGCCTGCTTTGGTGTATTCATTGTCTGTGACCCATTGGAGTAAATTTTTATCCCAACGTGTAGCATTGCTACCGCAGTCAATGTTCAGCTATCCGATTGTAACTGCGATGTAAAAAGTAATAATCAAGAACAAGTTTGATGTACGCGGTCAATCGCAATCTAAACTATCCATCAGGTGAATTTGTCCTTGAATGAATATATATGAACAAGAATTAAGAGTTTAGTAACATAACGACATGACGGATGAAATAAAAATTATGCATTGCAAGTTATACATACTCTGAGACGAAGCGCAGAATAAATGGAAGGCTAGAAGAAGCGCCGGTACCCATAAATTTGTATTCATAGAGAGCGGCTTGAGTTTTAGAATTGAGAATGAATTTCAGTGAGGGATGTTTGGCTTGTGAGGTTAGATTTGATTTGGTTATGGGACTTATGTCAATGAAAATACCCTCCCCTGGATATCCCCACCGCAGAGACGAATATTATAACATATACACACACACACACACACACTGCTGTGACAAATATATACATACATGTAGCAGTGGCACTATTTCTTGAATTTACCTCTGTTTCGTTAAGAAATATCGAAACCAACATTGTAAACTTCAAACTTTTGATCCAAATATAATTATTTTATAACTACCAATGGGTTTCTAAAGAAATTTAGTAAAGAAAAAAAGTCTAACTGGTGGCTTAGCCACAACAGTTCTATTCTTCTAGAGGTCAAGAAGATTCACAAGGGCATTTTAGATTCTCGTGGCAACCATCGTGTGATTGAACTTAAAACGTATTGTATGTAATACGGGCCGATAGTTTGTTAAACCTACCAAAAAAAGTAAAGAGCTTTTAAAGTAAAATTATGGGTTGGGGCCTTAGGGCAGTTAACTAGAGTATTGTGTCAACCCCTTAGTATTCAAGTTCGAAACTCTCTTTTAAATTTGAGTAGTTCATATTTTTTGTTTGACAAGACGAAATATATTCTAAAGTACTTGATTTTATGGGAAGATGGAATCGAAATTGGGTGCAAATAGTTAGACCCTCCCAACTGGTTGACACAAGGCCAGAGATTTAGTCCAAAATTTGGGGTTTGGTTGGGTTCAGAAGCAATGTTATTAGGCATATTTACCAATCGACCTCTATATTTGTTGATTTGAATTAAACATATAACAAAACAACACTAATATTTCTCATAAAACACGATCATTTTTCTTTAAATTAAATAAGACAGCACATTCCTATAGCTTCATAGATTGTATGTAAATAATCCACTAAACACAGAACAGGAGTCCCTCCCAAGTTTTATTTCTCCTCTCAGTTTTCATGCCTCCACTTTTTCATTTCCGGCTTCAGCACCATTAGATTCCTTGCACCCGTTCAACAATTCGGATAACCTCGCGGCCAAACTTTGCTTTGCTGCAGGAGAAACACCGTGCTTTCCAACGATCGACTCTAAAACTGCCTCGGAAAGTAGTTTGTTTTCTATCACCGCGTTTGCAGCTTCAGGTACGGATGCATCTCTAGAGAAGCTAATCTGTGGCGAAAGCGAGAGGGAAAGATGTCAAAAATCCGATGTAAACTACAGAACTAACCATCCAAAAGTAGGATTACTAACCGTTAGTGATCCTTTGGGAGATTGCGTGAAAAGAATGGAGGCGCCGGGTGGGAAGTTTTGATCTTTGAAGACCTCAAGGAACTTTTCAATGGCTTTGCCTTCCGCATCAGTGTAAATTCCGACTGACTTCCAAAAGGCAACGCAATTCTCCGAAACTTTCTCAGAGTATTGCTGGCCTGTCAGTGGCAGTATCGTTGTCACTTGAATGAATTTCTCAAATGGACCTACAAAAGGATAGCGAAGATCATAAACCGCGCTACAAAACCTCAGTCATATCTTTAGTAACTGTTTCTTATGCCTCAAGTAATCATCATAACCAGAAGATAGCACTACATCTTGAGAGATTCATTCATTCTAATTTGCTAGTCAGGACTCAGGACTAAATTACCACCATAAGCACACATAAATTTACAAAATTAGAATACAACTTGAAAAATCTACAACATTCATCGACCGCGACAGGTCTATATAGGCCGCTGAGAGAACGGCAGGCTGTAGGATTGCCTCTGTTTGGCATGACTACCGATCATTCTAAAACGGCTCCACCTTAAGATGCAGGGCATGAGTAACATGTACACTTTCAACAGCATCAACGAGAGCTCAAATCAATTTACCAAAAGATACAGAAGGCATCCATTTGAAGATTAATATGATTATATTTTGAATCTGACCGTTCAACCGGACGATGATAAATAGAAGGGAAGATACATATGAAACCAACTTATCTTTAACAAGTCATCCACTTGTGTGGACCTTTTTTAATGTGAAAATGTACTTAAGAAAACGTACGGATAAAGGGTCGAACATATAAAACTTAGATAAAATTGTTAAATAAAGTGTCGAACGTATGTATTCATAGGGTCGAACATCAATGAATTTTGCCCCAAAAGAAGTCAAAGAGATGAAAAAAGTGAAGAGTCGAAAGTTAATTTGAACTCTAAATTTGACTTATTTCATCTCTAATACACTGAAACAAATTAGTTATATATATGAATAATTTTTCGTTCTATCTGGTAAGTCTAGCTAAAATTGGGTTCACCATAGCATGCAATTTTATTCCTTTGCTAATTATAACACGACAAGGTAACAAATTTGCACCAGTAACTGGAATTTACTGTCAAAATTCAAACTGTTGTTAAAACAGCAAAGAAATCTGTGTTACCTGTAACGATGTCCCTGAAGAACTCAACGGACTCCGTCAACTCCTTGGCTGTCTTACCCTTCCACTTAACAGCGAGCTGAGGCACGGCGCTATCCTCCAAGTACACTCCGATCGCTGTGAACTTCACGAAGTTCCCCTGAATCTCCAGCCCCCTCACCCCTACGCATGTTAGCAAGCAAAGTACTGTCAATCAAAACCAAAAGAAACAACCATTCATAATTACAGGTATAAGCGCCGGATGTGCGAAGTTTACAAACCTCCGCCGCCGAGGAACAAAGTGTTGGAGGATCCCGGAGGTTTGATGGACGGTGGAAACGTAGTCGTTTCGATCTGAAGTCCGGCGAGCGACGGTGGTGGAGCCATTTGACAATCTCTCTCATTTCCGGCTTTGCCATCATTAGATTCATTACACCCGTTCAACAATTCGGATAACCTCACGGCCAAACTTTGCTTTGCTGCAGGGGAAACACCATGCTTTCCAACGATCGACTCTAGAACTGCCTCGGAAAGTAGTTTGTTTTCTATCACCGCATTTGCAGCTTCAGGTACGGATGCATCTCTAGAGAAGCTAATCTGTGGCGAAAGAGAGAGGGAAAGATGTCGTAATCCGATGCAAACTACAAAATTAACCATTCAAAAGTAGGATAACTAACCGTCAGTGATCCTTTGGGGGATTGCGTGAAAAGAATGGAGGCGCCGGGCGGGAAATTTTGATCTTTGAAGACCTCAAGGAACTTTTCAATGGCTTTTTCTTCTGCATCAGTGTAAATTCCCACTGACTTCCAAAAGGCAACGCAATTCTCCGAAACTTTCTCAGCATATTGCTGGCCCGTCAGTGGCAGTATCGTTGTCACTTGAATGAATTTCTCAAATGGACCTACAAAAGGATAGCAAAGATCATAAACCGTGCTACAAAACTTTACTCATATCTTTAGTAACTGTTTCTTATGCTCAAGTAATCACCATAACCAGAAGATAGCACTACATTTTGAGAGATTCATTCATTCTAATTGGCTGGTCAGGACTAAATTAGCACCATAACCATAAGCATACATAAATTTAGAACTTAGAGTATAACTCAAGAAAGCTATGACATTTGTTGAACGTTACAGATCTATATCAGCTACTGAAAGAACGGCGGGCTACAGGATTGCCTAGGTTTGGCATGACTACCGATCATTCTAAAACGGCTCCGCCCTAAGATGCAGGGCATGAATAATATGCACACTTTCAACAGCATCAACAGGAGGTCAAATCAATTTACCAAAAATTACAGAAGGCATACATTTGAAGGTTGATATGATTATGTTTTGAATCTGACCGTACAACCGGATTATGACAAATAGAAGGGAAAATATGTATGAAATGACTTATCTTTAACAAGTCATCCACTTTTTCAACTCAAAACCTGAAAACTCTACAATTGTGAACCTTTTAATGTGAAATGTGCTTATGAATTGCTAAGAATGAAGGGTCGAACATATATAAGTTACATAAAATTGTAGAATAAAGAGTTACGTATTCATAGGGTCAAACATCAATAAATTTTGCTCCAAAAGAAGTCAAAGAGATTGAAAACGTTAGAGTGAAAATTCAATTTAAAATCTAAATTTGACTTATTCTCTCTCTAATGCACTAAAAAAAAAAAATTAACGTTAGGAAGACTAAAATTTTAAGGATTATATTAGGAAGACTAAATTGTAAATAAAATTTGTGAAACTAAAGGACGTGGAAATTGATGATTGCCTATTGGTGTATTAGTGTTGATAAACATGCTCATTCATATTGGTGACATATAATTTATTTTACAAATTTTGTCTCCAAATTTAGTTACAAATTTTGCAAATCAAATGATGCGTGACTAATAGAAAATAAGCATTTTAATCAACGCTTAAGTAATAATCCAATCTTCAACAAACACATCATTTGATTTTCAAATTTTGTTTGGAATTGATTTTAAATTGACTGAAAGCATTTTTTATAAAAGTATTTTTAAAATCAATCCTTAATAAAGATGCAAGTGAATCATAAAAAATACTCCCAATAACATTTTTTTCATAACGCTTTCAATCAATTTTAAAAACATTTTAAACTCATCCTAAAACTTCTTCTTCTTCTTTTTTTTTTTTTTTTAGTTTGTCTAAGTCCTAAAACTTCTTTTGACTTTGTGTTTTTTGTGTAGAAAGAAGATCCTCTTCAGATTTTTTTTATGAGATCTTACCAATCTCAACATCCTAACTGTTAATCGTACATCGTGCGATCAGTATTTATCGGATACAATTTGTGTTTAATTTTAAATAAAAAAAATCAAATGATTTCTAATCGCATGGTACACAATAAATAATTAAGATGTGAGGATCTCTAGATATTTGGATCCTCTTTTGAGCTAATGGAAAAGATTCTCTTAATCAATCATCATGAGCCGTTGGATTTTTATCCAATAGCTACAATCAGAGAGTCCCTTTAAAGTTATAATAATTATAACAGTTGGAATCCAATTGTCGATTGATCAAAGGATCATCTTCATTAGCTCAGAGAGGATCCAAATCTTCATTAGTCAACGATGTTAGAATTAATTTTTCGTTCTATCTGGCAAGTTTAGCCAAAATTGGGTTCAGCAATGGCATGCAATTTTATTCCTTTGCTAAATTAGAACACGACGATGTAACAAAATTCAAACAGTAGTTAAAACAGCGAAGAAATCCGTGTTACCTGTAACGATGTCTCTGAAGAACTCAACGGACTCCGTCAACTCCTCGGCCGTCTTACCCTTCCACTTAACGGCGAGCTGAGGCACGGCGTTATCCTCCAAATACACTCCGATCGCCGTGAACTTCACGAAGTTCCCCTGAATTTCCAGCCCCCTCACCCCTGCGCACGTTAGCAACCAAAATACCGTCAATCAGAACCAAAAGCAAGCAACAAGCATTCAAACAATCAGAATCACGGATAAAAGCGCCGGAGGTTCGAAGTTTACAAATTACAAACCTGCGCCGCCGAGGAACAGAGTGTTGGAGGAGCCCGGAGGTTTGACGGACGGTGGAAACGCGGTCGTCTCGATCTGGAGTCCGGCGAGCGAGGGCGTTGGAGCCATTTGACAATTTTGTTGTTATTGTGGAGAGAGAGAGAGAGTGTGTGAGAGAGATGGGGTTTGCTGTCGGAAGCGGTGGGTTTAAATAGGCAAAAATCCCTGAATCTCTTCCACCAAACCTACGAATTAAGTGATTCGAATTCTTAAAAATTGATCCAACAATTAAAAACAGAAACTTTTTAAAAATTATAATAATTTTAAGATCATTGAGTGACGGGAGAAGGTTTGATGAGTAAGAAGAGGCAGTTGGGTGGGAGCCTTTAAAACGTGCGGGTGTTTTCACCGGTCGCTCAAGGGAAGGCGGGGAAGTGTCCACGAACTGATTTTCTGGTACCAACTACCCCTTCGGTTGTCTTTCCCCCAAATACAAAAAGACAAACAAAATTAAATTGAAGAAAATACCACGTCACAAAATCCAACTAAATAAATATAATAAAGGTGCAGAAATATTAAATTGAATTGTTTTACGAGAGTTTTAACAAAAAATTTACGGTAATGTTCACTTTAACGAAAAATCATATTTTTACACTAAAAAGTCAATCCTGGTACTATTCACTCTACCCTTTATTTTATCCTTATCATTAAAACTCAAAGTTTTCAAACTTTTTTCATTAGTTTTCCTTTGTTTTATTTTAAGGGTTTTCTCGAGAATAAGATTACTTGGCACATAATTTTTGGAGTTTTAACAAAACATTTCCAGTACTGTTTACTTTTAACGAAAAACCCCATTTATACATTTACTATTCACCATACCTTTAAAATGGGATTTTCATTAAAAAGAAAGTTTTTTTTTTTACTTTTCGTTAGCTTTCCTTATAATTTTAAGGGTTGATGAAAGAATTGTTTCTGCAGGTGGGATTGTGGGGCTAGGTTTGGTTTGGAACTCATGGTCGAAGCACGTAGGGAAATACAAGTCTTTTCTCTTTTGACATAAACCCAGATACAAGCACTTCATTCATCGTATTCCGAAATAGGTTTAAAAGCAAAACCGCATTTTTCATACTCGAGCCTTGTCTTTATAAATTTGATTTTGTTTTTTTTTTAATGTTTTGAATGTTTTTTTTCGGATTTTTATGTTGTTTGTGTTGCCGTTGATGATTCAGTCCACTTGTTCGAGGTGCAGTGGAACTAAGACCTGGAGGACAAAATTCAATTATAATTAACAACGTTAATGGATTTAATTGAGTTATTAAATCCTAATTATTGCATCAAAATTCAATGTTTTCGTGCTAATTGCTTGTTGTGCAAGTGGAATTTACTATTTTGTCAGGAAAGTGTTATTAGCACTCCAAAAATCTCATTCTACACTTCTTATAAGTGTATTTTTCTTTCCTAATATAGAAAATTTGGAGTGTAGAATGATATTTTTAGAATGCTAATAACAATTCCCTTTTGTCAGCGTAAGATAATGTTTACATGTCAATAATGTTATAATCCAACGTGTTAAGAATCTTATAATCCAACGTGTTATATTTCATCTAATTTTATATTTTATGTAATTTGGGTTGATGCTGCTAATCTTTTTTGTTGTTGAAGGATTTAGATTGTGTAGCGATTGATTAGTTTGCAGGAGAATCAAGGGGTATTTAACAAATTTAGCCAAAATTATAAATATGTTAATTTTATAAATATTTTCAAATATATCTAAAATCTCACTTAAATAGACACAAATACTCTGAAATTTAAAAACTAAGAATTAGAGAATCTGACGGCAAAACCCTAGGCGTCATAAATGGTGGAGACCTGTGCATAAGAGAGTGAAGGCATTGATTACTAGTAGGAAACAATGGAGACTTGTGTAGTTGTAAACAACGATGACTGTAAATGATTAATTTTCTTGCATTTTTTCTTGTCTACGTTTTCTCTTTGCTTTTGTAGTTCTTCCTTCGGTTAAATATTTATTAAATAATGAACTGTCAATCCTTGTTTACGTTTTCTCTTTGCCGGACGTTGTACCACAACACTTGCAAGTAAATTTTGGGATTTTGCACTTGTTTGTGTTTGCTTTAGATTTGCGGTGGACCTCATGGAGTAAATCATAGCTCTTCCTGTGTATTACGGCGTTTATGAATTTTGTTAGTGTAAGTTGAGCAAGATCAGCCAGTTTTCATGCCGTATTTGCCAACAGAATCAATCACCTCCATAGTCCTCAATTCATGGGTCAGCAACACTTTGATTGTAGCACTAGAAGTCTTCTTGTCAATAACTAATTATTCAAAGAAATTGAGGGTATTGATGTCTATTTAAGTGAAATTTTGGATATATTTAAAAGTTTTTATAAAAACTGTCATTTATGAAATTGAGGGTCAATTTTCGGCTATATTCAATAAATTCTCAAAATCAAGTGATACAAACAAGGATCGAAACAAGCGGAGTGGTGGAAAAAAGGGCATGCTAAAATAATGTATGGATGGGTTCATATTGTACAATCTTTTGATCGGAATTCAGACTAAAAACAAAGACTTGTATTCGTAAATGAGTGTTGTTGTAAACTTGCATGGATTGGAAAAGATTATGATAATTAACGACATTTAAGCTCAAAGCCTCTTGAACCGAAGGAATCATGATCGCAGGTAGTATCCCTATTTGAAATATTACGTGCACTATAATTCATAGCAAGCATGACCGTTTAGTATGGTACATTAGCCTGCAGTCGAAGCAATCGATCTCGAATGTCTTTAATCCTAATGCGCGTACCTCTATCTCTACTCGGGGTTTCATACTGTTGAGCATTGGTGAATTTGAACAGAATCGTAACACTGCCAGAAGCTTTGACATAGGAAGAACTATGTTCAAGATAACCAACGAAAAGTTAAAAAAAACTTTCGTTTCAATGAAAAATGACAAATAAAGGTGTAGTGAATAGTACTAGAGAAAGGTAAAAATGTTATTTTACGTTAATAGTGAACAGTATCGGAAGTGTTCTGTTAAAACTTCATTTGTTTTTTCTACATAGACTTGGTCCATAGAGGCATCTAATGAACATTTTATTTTTATTTTTGTTTTAATTTTTGAGTCTGTGTAGGGAGGAGGGGCCAATGCAGTAAAGCGCCATAAGTATATTCGATGTGAACGTTGAATTGTATGATCACCACAGAAAGGGCATATAGATTTAGTTCTAGTCACAAGCGCACGGTATATCATTGCCTGCCTTTTGAATTCTTTGCGCAGCCATGGATTTCAAACCAAACTCGAAGTTATTGTAGTTCCTAAACAGGATTCCTTGGGTGTTTTTCTTGCACATATGTACCCGTAAACTCAAAAACGTGAAATCAATTTTTAAAACTAAAGTATTGTTCCGATTAATTTTAGAGAGATATTTTAGTTCGTTTCAAATTTCCATTTGTGAAATTACATATTTTTGTACTCATTAACAATTATCACTATGTAGAGGCGTGTTTTATAAGATGTGACCAAAATAAATATAAAGTTATAATATAAAGTTTTTATGACTTTAAGGGATTTCTTTATAAATCTATCTTACCAAAAATAGAGAAGGATCGGTTAAGCTAGAAGTAGACTGGTAGTCTGTCAGTGGCAAGGCCACATCACCTAAAACCCCCCCCCAAAACGTGGCCGTTTAAGTCCAGAAACGTGGCAAACGAAACGCCGACTGTTTCATCCTCCCTTCTTCTTCCCGTCTCAATTGGCAATGGCTCCCCCAAAAAATCCCCAAATCCTACCCCCATTCCCCTAAATCCCAAACCCTAAACCTCTCACCTACTCGATCGCTCCCCCAAAGCATCAAAATTTAAAAAATTTCAGCTTTTTCGTAAAAAATTTCTGAATAATTTCTCAGCTGGAGCGATAAAAGTCGGAGAAAATGTCGTGGCTGAGATCGGCGGTGAGCAAGGCGGTGGAGGCTGGCAACAATAACAACCTCACCCGCACCGTCAAGAACTACGCCGACTCTGTCGTCCAGCAAGCCGGCCAAGCCGTCGCAGAGGGCGCCAAACGGTTGCAGGACCGAATGGTAATTTCACAATTCACCATTTTTCATGTTTTCCACATTTTTTCTCATTCGCATTTGTTTACAGGGAGGTCGGAGCTTTAGGAGTGCGAAGAAGAGTATACAGAGATTGGAGGAAGCAGCTGTGTCCTGCAGGGGGCCCGAGAGACTTGAGATATTGAGAAGGTGGGTCTTGCTGCTTAAAGAGGTGGAGAGGCTGAAGCTGTCTCAGGGTTCTGTGGAAGAGAAGGAGAACGCGCCGGAGCAGCCTGTTGCTGCCGATGACACGAACGAGATTCGAAAAAGAATATCTCTGGTTTGATTTTGTTTTGTTTTTGCAGTTTTATTTCATTCCATTCAGTTTTTTTGTTTTGTTGGAGTATTGTTTGCTGTTGAACCTTGTGATTTTTGGTAATAGGTTTTGTATTATGACTCTGATGTTGGTGGTGAACCGATGAATTTCCGCGAAGTTTTTCTTCAAAGTCAGGCTCTGGAGGGCATAACACTCTCTATGGTATGTATTTGAGAAATGAATGCTGCATATATCAATGAAATTAGAGACATTTCTTTGGAAGGGATGGGATTTTTTATTTAGCTAATGATCTTAGAAATAGTTCAGCCAAACAGATGAATGCTAAAATGGATGACTAAATGTGCTACGCGGAGAAATTACTTATTTCATTAGTTAGGGGAAGCACTTAATGCATGATGGAAAATTATTTAAGTCGAGATGATTTTGTTGAGTCGTATGCTCTCTGTTTTTGCTCAGGCATTGCCACATATGCACTTGGTTTGTGAAGTTCATGGAGTTTTCTTTTGTAATAGGAAACGGTGGCTTTTTTATTTAAGGAAAATAATGATTAGGAAACTTATTGTTCTCATCAAATGCCTAAAACTTCTAAAACTGGGATTATCCTAAATGATCTTATATATTTTTTGGAATTTCTGATTCTGGAAGTTAACCGCTGGTTAACCCTTTTCTATGCCTCAGATTCTTGAAGCTCCGAACGATGAAGAGGTTGCCCTACTCATGGAGATGTTTAGGTGAGAACCAGGAATTTCACTAGTGTGTAATGCAGTTCATGGCCTGTTAAGTGCCAGTATTA